TAATTTTGTTTAATCGTCCATACACGAGTAATGGATAAATAATCGGTGGATATCACATGATCGATCACATGACTCAACAATAAACAAGCCATCCTGAACTGTGTTAAGAAACGAGAAATGGACAAATGAAAAAATTAAATACTTATACGACACACGTTTCTATACTTCTCGATTGGAATGGGAAAATTTATATATTATATATGTACACACCACACAACATACGTGCGTACACAGATACACACACACAACGCACAAACACACACACACACGCATACATATATATTATATATATATATATATATATATAAAGATATTATACGTTTTCTACGTTTTCTATAATTTAAAATGACATTTGATACGGCCATGATTGATCACGTTGTAAGAAATTAAATTAATCAATCGTGGACTATCCTCTACGATATCATAACATATTAAAACGTAATCCAGAATTAAAAAAAAAATGTTGTAATTTTTAGAGAACGATAATAGATACGATAAAAGGCTATCATGGATTAAGAATCAGCAGAGCTACTATTAATTATTATATAGTAAGTGAATACATGCGTTTTTTTAAAAATGTCCTAAAGGATGGGAACTCCCTCCGAACACTGCCCGCACGAAACATTACGATTAAATATAATACACATCGTATAATAATTACAATAATATAGTATTAATTAAGAAATATTACGTTAATAGTTATTTAACCACGTGTAATGGCTCAGTCTATTACGCTAGTCTCATGCAACAACAACAATAAAGATACAACAATATATTTACTTATGTTTGTCTCATTTAATTATACTTTACTTATTCATTTTCACTTCTTTCTTCTATGTTTATTTATTCGCTTTCATCAATCATTCTCTGGATTTTTTTTCACGCATTCTTCTACTCTTTCTCTCTCTCCCTCTCTCTCTCTCTCTCTTTGCAAATAGAAAAAACTTGGAAATTTGTCAAATATCAATCAACTTCTCTTCTTCTTTCTCTCTCTCTCTCTCTCTCTCTCTTTTATAATTAATTTATTTTAATATAATATTATGTATAAATAGACGATTCTATTTCTTTTTTTTTTTTGTTCACGACACTACTTATTTTCCATTCATTGTCGTACTTCATTATAAATTTTCTCCATGTCCTTATATTGAGTGAAAGTTCCGAGCAATAATAATAAATAATTTGCGAGCCACGTGAAATCTCGACGGAAGTCGTTCACAAAATATTTCTTTTACTCGACAAATTATACATAGTACCATATATTTACAATGATACACAGGATGCTACGACGAATATATGTATCAAATATTCTTTTATCGAAAATTCCATTTAATTGTTAAGTATAAAATTGAATAGGGAAACCTGAGAGAGAGATCTATTATAAATATATTTCATGTAAATGTCCATTCAAATGTGTGTTTGTTTGTGTATCACTGAAAAACATTCTCTAGCTTAGGAACTATTTAAAAAATATATATGTATATATAAATATATATCTCGTGCTTTTGTGTGTATGTTTGCATCAAATCGAATATATTATTTAAACACTAGTCAATTCAGCGACAGAGATAGCGTTGACAAAGTGAAGAAATGATCTTAGCAATGATGTTTGTTTCATATGTATTATTTACAATACAATGTTGAATATAATAAAAACAGGTAATAGTAATAAGACTGCTAATAATAATAATTATAATATTAATAATAAGAATAATAATGATAATGAATATATACTTTTTCAAATATTTCTGTGAAATCTAGATAGAGAAAATTTGTAGACTCAAGTCGAGAAATTGCACGTGGCTCGATTTTTTTTTTTTTCTTTATACTTTTGTTTACTTCCAAGCCCTTAAGTAATTATAAAAAATAGTAATATCACAAAAATGGCGCAGGCAGAGCAAGGAAAGGACCAAAACTGGGATAAAGAGTAATGGCAATATGATAATTGCCAATTGACAAACATGGATCGAGTCAAAGGAGCGGCCACGAATATATATATATATATATATATGTATATATATGTTAAATTTTTCTGTTCTCTACGCAAAACACGGTTCTTTTTTCCTTTCTCATTTTTTTTTTTTTTTTTTTTTTTTTTTTACTTTTAAGCTTTTCCATTCAAAACGACGAAAACAGACTGTATGTTTCATTTCTCGTGATCACGTGATACTTTTTCCTCGTTTTTCCCGTCGAAGTAGAAATAGAACAGTAAAATAATATATTTCTTTCTCGTTTAATCTATGGTGACGATAAAAAAATATTCTCACTGTCAGATTGTACTTGTCACACGCGTTGCTGTGACTACATGATGGCATCTGTACTTTTTGATCGAGCGGATGGAAATCGTTCGGCTTGAAACATGTCTCAAATTGGCCGAAAAAATCGTCTCGCTTATTACGATTGTGCAACAGATTCAACGCGTTTCTTTTTTTTTTTTTTTTTTTTTTTTTTTTTTTAAAATTTTAACCCCCCCCCCCTCTTTTTCCCCCCCCCCTCTTTTTTTTTTTTTTCCTTTTTTTTTTTTTTTTTTTTTTTAAAGATCTAAGGTCGCCTGCGCTAGTTCAGCCTGCCAGTTCTGTTTTTTTTTTTTGCTTTTTTTTGTTTTTTTTTTTATTAATAAAGTTTGATTGACAACAGTGACTCAACGACGATTAAATTAGTTCCATCATCTACATGTTGAGCGATTTTCTTTACTTGTTTCATATTTTCTTTTTTTAGCATTTTCTTTTCTTTGACAAATGAACAGAAAAAATAAAAATTACAGTTTTACATCATAAAAGTTCTAGAAATGGATTTCGTGATTTTCTTGTTACAAATTTCACGATATTCGTTAATACATTTGTTATTTTTTTGTTTATCATTTCTTGTCATCGATGCATAAACGCGTTTCTCACAATTTCGATATTTCGTTTTCGAAATTTCTTTTATCAGCGAAAACAACGATGATAAACGCAATCTCGTTTTTTTTTTTTTTTTTTTTTCAATAAAAAGTGCTTGTTTTATGAACTGGCCCAAAAACTGGACTGGAATGACACAGTCAGCGCTTTAATTTCAAAAACATGCTACTAACGCGAAAAGATATTTAAAAATGAAATGGAGATCAGCGTGTATCGGTGCACATGACAAAAATTTCTCTACATCACGATAGATTTCACGTCATAGATTCAAAACTCTGTGGATCGTTACCTGCAAATCATATTCAAACTATATTCGTCTCATATTTTATTTTATATAACGTCAACCTGTTAAGAGGTGATATGCAAGCAAAAAATTTGAAATATCTATAGTGATAACAAAAACTTTCACTCTAAAATGTATTTATCTATTTACACTAACAGCTAATATGATCCTAATTTAATATTTTTAACAAAAAAATAATCACAAAATGGTCTGTGGGTTAAAATATTATATTCGACATATATAATTAAGAGCAATATATAGATACATATTTATATATGTATGTATATATTGATCCATTTGAAATATGTTTCATTCATACATGACGACAAAGTGTCATATAACCTAATATCACAATTAGCAAGGAGAGAATAAAGTAAGCAGAAAAATTTTGGTTCGAAACGAACGGAATGGCACTTTCTCTGCGTTTATATTGAGTTTTAACGTATAAAAATACATATTCTCAAAAACCTTCTGTACACTATGAAATTTCTAATTACATATTTCTCTATTCATTAGCTTTATATCAAATAAGTATTACTACCACCATCTAAGCTCTAGAAAACTCATCAAATATAGAATGAGGCACCTCTCTATCTTTCTTATAAAAAAAAAAAAAAAAAAAAAAAAAAAAAAAAAAAAAAAAAAAAAAAAA